CCATTTAAACATCATATTCTTCCTTGGTGTCTTCCACTCCCAAGCTTCAAATGAATCTCCTTCATGTGAACAACTCCCAGATTTTGATCTTTTGCCCTCACTTCACTTTCTGTGGCCTGTTGCATTTTTTTTTCACCTGGGCCTCCTATCAGCCCTGCAGCACGTCCAAAATAGAGTGCTCTCCTCTATCCCAGTCTATTCCTTTCTCTTTCCCTGTGTTAGTTACTTATGACGTTGTTCCCAGCCACTCCCACTCAAGTAGACTGATGTCTTCAACTTTGCTTCTTTTCTTCCAATCTTTCTTCATGTTCGATTGATCACATCGCTTCAAATACTACACCTTTCTCTCCATTCTTATTCCTGTTGTCACTGACCCCAACTGAGCTCCCAGTTTATAGCCTCCCCATCTCTAGTTCATTTTATGACTAGAAGGAAGGAAGTCCCCACAGCTAATTCTGGCCAGTCCCTTGCTCACACATTTTCACTGGGTATCATAGTCTGCCTGAAAACGTTCAGATTCAGGCACACATCTACGTCCTCCCACAGTGGGAATCCACCCTAATTTTCTAACATTTTTTCCCAATAATGCCCTCCATGGAGTTATGGAACTGCTTCTATCACAGTTACAGCATGTCTTGATGTTTTGTCTGTACAATTTCTATTCACCTTTGAGCCTCCTGTTCTCTTTACTGGAATCTCCTTTATTTTCACCTGTTCCCGATCTTTACTCAGCAAATCCATCCATCCTTCCAGTCCCCATTTGGAGACCACCACCCACATGAGGTGTCTCTTAGTCCTCTCAGCAGGAAGGAGGTGTCTCTATTCTGACCCTTTATAACACTGCGTGTATAATTTACTTTTAACACTTACCTCATTCTGTCTTAAGTTCCAGTTGTTTGTACACCCACCTTATGCTTGCTTACAGCTCAGCAAAGGGCACCCCTGCCATCTACATATTTGTGTCTCCTTCAGAGCCTAACTCAGAGATTTTACATAGGTGGAATGAAAAAAAAATGTTTGGTGAATAAATATAACTGGTTTTAAATGTTATTTTAATTTTTATGTGTATGAAACCTCCTACCACAAATAGAGATCATATGAACAATATTCTTGTGCTCTTTAATTATAGCTCTTCTAGAGTGAATAGTATTGATGAGGCTTCAAATTAATAGGTAGTCACAGAATTTTTTTTTTTTTTTTTTTTTGAGACGGAGCCTATATCTGTCATCCAGGCTGGAGTGCAGTGGTGCGATCTCAACTCACTGCAACCTCCACTTCCCGGGTTCACTCCATTCTCCTGCCGAGTAGCTGGGACTACAGGCGCCTGCCACCACGCCCGGCTAATTTTTTGTGTTTTTGGCAGAGACGAGGTTTCACCGGGTTAGCCAGGATGGTCTCGATCTCCTGATCTCATGATCTGCCCTCCTCGGCCTCCCAAAGTGCTGGGATTACAGGCTTGAGCCACTGCGCCTGGCCCACAAAACTATTTTTATTTAAGTTCTAAATGTTCTTTTAAAATTTAATTTAGATGTAAGCATGTTTAGTATTTCCAAGTTCACTTTACACAGACTATGAAAACCTTGACCCAGGAGGCCTTGAGAGAAAAAGGCCGCTGTGGCTTTTCGCAGTCTACCCACCCGCTGGCTTCGTGGCAGAAGTAGACTGTTCTCCCCCACGCTCATGTACTTGTCCCTGTGCACTTCCCAGAACTGAAATTATGGCTCTTGTTTACGTTTCAAATAACTTCCTTGTGTGCATGTTGTGTAAGAAGAGAGATGTCAATACAGATGTAATGAAGCAGGTTAAAGCCACCTGAGAATATTTGTCTAGAGATAAATGACAATGTGGCTAACCTGAGAGCACTTACTCTTAGTAGATCTCCAGGCTGGTTCATTTCACAATTTAAAGTCCTGTATCAGGAGACGTTGTCAAACATTATCTCTACATTTCTTTAGAGCATGGGTCTAATAAGATCATTCATCTAATAATTTTGAGAAGCTCTTTCTCTCCTAGAGCAATGCTTCTCAAACTGTACTGTACGTGCGTATGCGCCGGAGATCTTGTTGAAACTGAGTGCGAGCAGGTCTGGGGTGGGTGCAGGATTCTGCATTTCTGTTCAGCTCCCAGGTGCTGCGGGTGCTGCTGGTTCATGGACCACACTAGGCAGAGACCTAGCGGAGGGTTCTTGGAGTTTGGTGATGCTGTTCTCATCCAGGTTCGTCAGTTATGCAAAATGGTTTTCTTTCTGTGTCTTGGTTTCCCTCATCTGTAACATGAGAATATTGAATGAAATGGTGTCTAATGGCTCTTCTCAACTCAAACATTTTAGGATGACACAGGAGGAGGTAAGAAGAATGAGGGGGCAGGCTGCGGTTCTGAGCACAGATTCATTCTCTTAATCTCCACCCAACTTTCATATTTATTAATAGTTTATTTTAAAGGTAGTATGAATGACACACCATACGTTTTCCATATTTATATTAGAATGTAGACCTTCACAAAATAATTTTAAATATGACAACTTAGTAAATAAATTGCAAGTAAAATATACTTCGCCCTCTACCCTCATCATTTACATGTGTTTTGTTGC